GCAGACTCACAATGGCTCAGACTGGGGAAAGACATCACTTCACCAGACACATTGGGAAACTGAGGCCCAGAGAGGAAAGAAAGGACTGATCGGGCATTTGCATGAGCAGTGAGAGGCTCAGAGACGGAGCGCTCACCTGAGGAGGGCTCTGGGGGCAAGTAGGGCCAACAGAGTGACCATTCTCCAGTAAGGGTAGGATAGTTATTATGGGGGATGTTTGGGTGGGCACCCTGGACCCCTAGCATAGGAGTGTCTAGCTGGGTGCTCTTGGAAATCTGCTGATCTCGGGTAAGAAGGAGTTTCTATCAAGAAGTCGTCTTACATCACAAAGGCAGCCCAGCCTGGCCGACTCAAGTCCACGGTCCCGTGCTAGCCTGTGCCCCCTTCAGACTTGGGCAGCTGAAGGCCGATGATGAAGAAGAGTGAGGTGGGAGCAGGAAGATCACCGCCGGTGAGTGTATCACGTAGATCCCCGTCAGTGGAAGCATGGCAGGGTGCCAGCAGCTGCCAGCCTGGCTCCCAGGGTCAGCAGCTGCCCCTGGAGCCAGACACAGAGCGCCAGCAAGCAGGGAGGCAAAGGGGCAGAGAGAAGGGGGAGGTGTCCCCAGGGTCTCTCATAAAAAGACCACACCTCCCAGGAGGCATCATCAGGTTGGACAGGTTGGACGCCACTGCGCCACAAGCACAAGTTGACATAAACTCTAACTGCCACACCTCGTTTGCCATTTCCCCCTCTCTGGTACGTTCTCGGAAGCCTGTAGGCTGGTGCAGAGCCACCCTGCCAGCAGCTTGGAGTGTTTGCTTAGTTCGTCGGGACTGGGCGGCGCGGCGGGGCTGGACCACAAGCAGTAGCATTCACGCATGGCCCACCTGCCCGGGGTTGAGTGCTGCAGAGCATTCGAATAAATGACAGCCGCTCCTGTCTTGATAGTTTAGAGGAGTCCTTATTCGGTTGTAACTGGACTGCTCAAATCTCAAGGTGCTTCTTTGATTGCTGTCCCCAGTGGACATTCCAGTCCATTTTTAAAGGCAAAAAACGCATTTATCTTGTATCTAGGATTTAAGCAAGTGTGAACAGAAGCAGAATGCAAAATTGATGGTACTATTCTTTAGCATTCATGAGCATTACAGGGAACAGCATTGACTATACAACCTGGTGAATAAAATAAAAATAGGAATATCCTGGTTACAGCATCAAAAGGAACAATATTACTCATTACACGGTTCTGATCTCGAGAACATGAGAGAACATTCTAAAATCAACCACTAATGGGACTTTGTGAGATGGGAACGAGATGGCATTCCCTGGCTCGTGTTAGTCCGCCTCAGCACCTCCTTCGTTTCATTCCCAAATCCGCGCCGCTCCTCCTCGGCTGCTCTGGCACTCGTGCTGGTCTGGCTGCAGTTGGAGGCAGGATGCTCTTCATGATGATCAATTCAAAAGCAAATAAAACAGCAGCAACCAAACAACACTCAAGGGATGCACAATACACGGATCAATGCTGCTGCCTAGGACCCAAAGTGTGCACTGCTACACAGCACGTGTACATGCAGGGCACTGCTTCTACGAGCCAGTAACAAAATCATTTGGACGTATCAGGAGAGCCCTGTCCCTGGAGAAGGACGTCATGCGTGGTAAAGTGGAGGGGCAGCGACAGAGAGGAAGACCTCGATGAGCTGGACGGACGCCGTGGCTGCGACCAGGGGCCCAGACATAAGAGCTCGGCGAGGATGGAGCAGGACCTGGCGGTGACTCGCTCTGCCGTCTCTGTGGTCGCGATGAGTCGGAACCAACTGGATGACAGCCGGCAACCACCGCCAAGACTATAGAGCGTGTAGGCTATACAGGTCCTGTGCCAGGATGTACTCCATATAGGTACCGAACATGCCATCCAGCTGTAGAAAAAGACATGGGATGCACTCGCGGTGCGGGGCACCCGCTGCATTCACTGCCTGGTGTTCTCCCACTGGGATGTCCAATCTCTATAAAACCACATGTGAGGCCACAATGTAGACGTGACTGGACATTGCCCAAACAGAGGTTCTGTGGTACCGGAGGCCACCTCACAAGTCACAGACTCCCTGGAGCCCTTTTGGGGGAGCAGGGTTTTCTTTGTTATGTTAATCAAGCCTTATCTCTGTCAGCTGTGTTCTGAGCTCCTCACTTTTGAGAGATAAACACAGCAGGTTAGACTCAGAGGGAGGAAACCCAAGTGCAGAAAGATCGCTGGAGCTCAGGAGGTTCCCA